ACTTGTATTCTCTTCCTCTTCCTTCTCTCTCTTTGAGCCAGGCACAACATAATCAATTTCATTCATGTTTTAAATCTGAATATTGTTGACTTCTTTCCCTGTTTTAAGTTTCACTAATTCTTCTCTAATTTATATTATTTCTTTTCATTTGGTTCTTTAAGTTTAAATTGCTCCTCTTTTTTCTAGTATTTCAAAGTTAATCACATTAATGATTTCAGAATTTCCTTATTTCCTAATCTGTGCATCTTATATAAATTTCCCAATAACTTACACTTTCATTTCATTCCACATAGTTTGATGAGTTTGCTTTTAAACTTTGTTTAGCTTGAAACATAATTAATCTTGCAACTTTTACAAGCTATGGGTTATTTAGGAATATTGTTCTTAAATCTCCAAATATTTGCAGTTTTAGCTCTGTTTTTGCTACTGATTTCTATTTTAATTCTACTGTGGTCTGAGAACATGCTTTGTTTGATTAATATTTTTAATTTAAAGAATATTTTGTTTTTGTCATAATGAATACAAAATAAAACATGTTATGGTTCAAACTGTATATCTTGGTGAATGCTTCTCATGAGCTTGGGAAGAATGTGTATTGTGCTGTTGGCCAGATTATTCTATTAACGTCAATTAGATCAAGTTGATTGATGGTGCTGTTCAAGTTATCAGTATCTGTTTGATTTTCTGCCTTTTTGATCTCTACTGATTACTAGGAGAGGGATGTTGAGGGCTCCAGTATAATAATGGGTTTGTCAGTTCTAACAGTGCCGTGACTCGTTATTTTGAAGTGTCTTGCTAGGTTCATACATGTGTAAGGTAAGGTTGATATGTCTTCTTGGAGAAATGACTCCTTGAGAATTTTCTCTATTGTGAAGCTGACTTGTTGAAGGCTAATATGGATGCTCCAGCTTTCTTTTCATTAGCATTAGTATGGTTTGATAGTTTGTCTTTTTTCCCCATCTTATGACTTTAAACGTGTATTGTCTTATAGTGAAAGTGGAGTTCTTAAGTGGACTTCTGTGGACACCATATAATTAGTTCTTAATTTCAAAAAAAAGTTTGAAAATGGTTATCTTCCCATTGCTGTGCTTAAGCCATTTGTACTCACAGTGATTAGTGATGCAATCTGGTAAATAGAACCATGTTAGTAATACTATTTGTTGCCTTTGTTCTCTCCTCCTCTTCCTCCTCCTCCTTCTCTTCCTCCTCCTCCTCCTCCTCGACTCTTGCTCCTCCTCTTCCTTCTCCTCCTGCTTTTCCACCTTTCCTAACTTGAGCACACCAGTCCTCTTCCTGTCCCTTGTAACTCTGCTTCTACTAATTTCACTTACTCATTTGCTTTAATCATCCAATGCCCTGGTGTTGTTATGATCTTAAATAACAAGTAGCTATCTGTTACAAAGGTTAATAAAAATCCATATTTAATTTTACCTTCACTTATTCTTCCTCTTCTACTCCTCTTATCTTTATTTAGATCTTAGTTTCTGGCCTATATCATTTCATCCGGACTGTACCAATTCTTTTGAGCACTTTTTGTATACAGTCTATTGTTCTACTTTTTCCATTAGATGGCCCATAACATTTTAAATCATAGTTATAAATTTCCTGTCTGACAAGTCCTATATCTGTGTCATATTGGTAAAAGGCAAAAGGTTCAAACAATTTTAAAAGAAACCTGAGTCCTGCTTCTGAAGTTTGCTTATTTCTGTAGGCTGTTTGTTTATTCATTTTGGAGCCCTAGACAATCAGGTAATAGGAAATGAGATAATTGGACCTTTAGAGTGATAAATTATGTTACTATGGCAAATAATTGGGCTATAGATTTTTTGCATATGTATGTGTGCACATGTGTATGAGTATTCAGTGAGTATTCACATGTATGTTGGCTCACATTTATGTGTATACATGTGTCTGCAGGCCCAGAGTTGACATTGAGTTTCTTCTTGCATTGCCCTCCAATGTCTTTAATGTGACAGGGTTTCTCACTAAACTAGAAACTTACCAGTACTGGCTAGTCTAGTAGCAGTGTCCTGGGGGTTCTTTTTTCTACCCCCAGGTTCTGGGAGATTTCAGGTGGTCGCCATGCCTGCCTGGCTTTTATGTAAGTTCTAGGGATCCAAACTCTGGTCCTCATAAAGCAGCAAGCGCTTTATCCACTGAGTCGTCTCCCAGCCCCTAGGCTTTGGTCCTTGTTTCTGCTTCCCCTCTTGACCTTGGCGACCTCATGTATTTTTCAGCCTGTGTCTTGAAGGCCTTTCTGAAATAACCCACTGGAGTTGTGGTATGGAGAAGGTAAAGCAGTCTATAATCTTCAAATTAAGTCTTTATATTTTAGGACTCTGTATCTTCAGGCTGTGACCTTTTAAAGAGTTTTTCCAGTAAAGGTTTATTTCTCTTTTTTTCTTCTCCTTTCCCGAATCATTTCTTTTAGGTTCAGCTCACTACTGACTAGGTCTCCCTTATATCCAGCTCATAGCTGAAGCAGGGAGGCTAAAAGGGCTAGAATCAGGAGTTCTCCGAGATAAAATCTGGACAGTAGAACTTTATTATTAAGATTTTGGAATATCCTATAATTATTCTTCCTTATAGTCTACATAGCTATGAAGGGTCTTTCTCAGATCTTCATTGAGAGAACCTAGTATATGCACTACGTGCTGCAATTCATCTAAAATACCAACCTGGGGCATGGTGGCCCAGGCTGGTAATACAAGCCCTTGGGAAGCTGAGGCAATAAGACTGTGTATTCAAGACCAACCTGAATTATAATAAGATCTTGTACATGAAAACAGGAACTGCAGGTGTTTTTATGGTTTAGGACTGGCTTCAACTCCAGGTAAGCAGATTGCAGTGTTGATGCCCCTGACTCCATGTTCCACATTGTTTACCTTCATTTCTACTTCTCTGAGAGGCCAAGAAAAGCTACTGAATTCCACTTTTATCAGCTTCATACTGTAAGCGGGGAGTGACAGCTCTCAAGATCTTCATGTTGGGGTCAAGGCAGGAAATCTCTCTAAAAATATTTTACATAATTTCGTGTCCCTATGGAGTATGTTCAAGTCCTGGCTGACAGTTCTGCTGCCAGCTATACCCTTCCCACCCTTCTGGGTTTGATGTCTGAGTCAGTTTCACGTGGTTTCACACTACATTCCAAGTGTTATATAACCAGGGACCTTGCTGGAGCTGAGCACAACGGGTGTTCTAAGAGACTGCAGAGGGAACACCTGGCATGTGGTGCATATGGTAATCCCTGCTGGTGTTGAAGGAAGTCAGCCCCACAAAAGGCAAACCATGAAATCTGGAAGTTTGTGCCCACCATTTAGAATGCTCCTTGGAAGCTCTGAGTATCTGTCTCTCTGATACAGAAACCCACACAGGTGTTATATAATAGGTAGCTCAGACTTTGGTGTCTCAGGCATCTCTCTGTATCATTTCGCTCGCCACTGGAGCACTTCATAGGCTTGCGTTGTGATGGGCTTAATGAGAAAGAAACGCACAAGGAACAGAGCTGAATTACATCTGTGTAACTTAAGAAGCAAAGATCTTTTAAAAATATTTTATTATTTTTATTTTTTGTGTATGAGTATACTGCCTGCATGCATGTAAGTGCACCTGTGTTGTGCAATGCCCACGGAGGTCAGAAGAGGGTATTGGATCCACTGGAACTAGACTTAGGGACAGTTATTAGTCGCCTTGTGGGTACTGGGAACTGAACCTGGGTCCTCTGCAAGAACAGCCAATGCTCTTTACTGCTAAGCCATCTTTCCAGCCCCAGGATTCTGTGATTAGATTCCTTGCCTGTATCTTTCCCTTCTGCCATGCCGAACAATACTTCCATAGTACTATTAGGTGCTTCTGAGCTTAAACAGAGTTATCTAGCAAAGAGCTGAATTCCTTTTTATCCTACAACATTTGGATTCAGAAAGCAGGGACTATTTGTTTTAACCTCAACTGATAAGTAGGATGAATGCCTTTTTCTTTTCATTCCTCTTATACACTGACACTAGAAATTAAGAAACAAATGATTGATCCGTGTGGTGCGTTGGCACCAAGATGTCTGGAGTAGTCAGGTAAATCTGTTTATTTTTTACATTTTTTCTTTTTCTTTTTTTTGAGACAGTGCTTTGCTATGCAGCCCACACTGCCCTCAAACTTGTGATCCTCCTGTTTCAGTCTCCTTAGTGCTAGGATTACAGGTGTGTAGCACCATACACAGTCAAATACTTCTGTTTATGGATGGTATAGATCTCAAGATGCTGGGGGTATAGGCAAAGAACCAGCTCTTGATAGACTGACTCTCCAACCTAAAAACAAAGGGAATTCTTCTGTCTTTTCAGATCATCTCTCCATCCTGTTCCCTCATAACAGAACATGGGTTGTCATGGTGAAATCTTATTGGTCAACCTGGAGAGAGTGGTGAGACATTCTGTGCTGTGAAGGGAGCTTAAGGACCGTACTCCTGGGAAAATGTTCCCTTTTAAACTGTGTTTGAGGTATTTTGTAGTCTACAGTCTATGATGCTAAAGGGTATCAGGTCTTCAAGGTTTTCTAAGATTCTTTGAGTCAACTGGTTTCTGCCTGTCCCAGGCTTCACTGATACTCTAAATAAGGCTATTGTGGCAGTGAGTATGAAAGAGATACCATGAACAAGAGATTAGGAGAGGCTTGTAGAATGGATGAAGGTAAATGGAGAAGGCGTACCAAAAGCCAGGGAGAAAATAGCCATGGTAATTCCTGGGGTTAGAAGGAGACAAGAAGTGGAAGAATGGGAGACAGCAGACATTAAGAAAGGAGAGAAAGAATGAGAACTTTGGTAAGGAGATAGGTGGATCAGGAAAGGAAAAAGGAGAGCTAAGATGTGTAATTCTATATAAAATACTCCCAGTTCCTTTGTGGATCGTCTAACACATGCACATGCATTGCTATTAAGGAGGGCTGGGACCGCCACAGCGACTGATTGTATTGGGTAGACAGAGCCATTTACAATAATCTGGAAATCATACCTTGTTTTGTTTAAGGGCACCTTTCTCTTTCATATGAGGGCAGTCCTTTCCCGTCACCACAGCTTTGATATCTGCCACTGGCACTGCAATTAATAAAGATAATGTAAGTCACGACACCATTAAAAGCTTCAATTTCAAAAAAGAAGCAAGAGTACTCATTGAATCTGCTACCGTGGTTGTCACTGCCAGAAACAACTGTAAAAAGGAAAAAAAGACAGGTGAGATGAGGAAGAGGAGTCAGGCAGTGTTTAGTGAATAGGCATCAGAGCATATTACGTTCTGGCAAAAACCAGCCCTTGGATAAGGAGCTATTTCCATAAGTAGGATTTGGTTCATAAAACAAAGAACTAAAATAACACCTATCACAGAAGTGTTGGAAGCAGCGGTATTATAATGGATATGAGTGTAGTACCACGGTATAGGTGGTACTGCTATCGCTATTACCAGGGCTCCTGTATGCTAGGAACAATGTCATATGCTTTACATGAATCAATACCTCTTACTACAGTGTCACATCTCTTTTGTTTCTGGAGTTTTGGATAAACAAGTTAAGCAGATCAATTAAAACACCTACCTGACTCTAAACAGTTCTAAACTCTTACTCTCTGAAGTCTCTTTCTTTTTGTAACAATTAAGGTAGGTTTGATTGCCCCTGTTTTATAGGCAGTGGAACTAAACTCAATAAAATAAAGGAAACTTTCCTTTCTGCTAGAGCTTTTGGAAAATAATGCAGTTAGATAACATGACGTTTTCTCATGTCATACTCAGGAACTGGAAGAAGGCAAGATATGGAAAAGCTACTGCATTTAAAACACTTTTTAAGAGCAACTGAGAGAGAGAAAGGAGAGTTCAGAGAGTTCAGGGCTGTCTGTTCTTGCATCACAATTCAGCACCACAGTCTCTCCTGACTTCATAGCCCTTTACGTCAGGTTCCTTTCTCTGCCCCTTTTCCCAAACCCTTTGGATTGGTATGAATCTGTAGGTGGATGCTATGATTGAACCCTGACTCCAGGATTGGTTGTCTTCTGCCAGTGGCTGATCTAAACACCACTGCAGGAGGCCATATTTGAATCACTGGGGAAGTTAGTTACATTTTTCAATGGAGACACTGAAAGGAATTTTTTATCTAATTAGCAAACCAATTCTAAAAGTCTCCTTAAGCTTCACAAAGAGTTTCAATCACAAGTACCACACAGAAAATACTCTGTCATATTGCATTAAATGGGGAATGAACTACACAGAGTAGCTATAGTATACAAATAGTAAGTTATCTCATGGCTTTGAAACCTTATCATATGGAATGGGATGAGAAGAATCCAAAATTGCCATGGGTCAGTCTTCAGAATTCTCATGTAAAGGCCTCACAGAACAAAAGGTCCTTTTCAAGGGATTTTGTGGCTGTATATATTTCTTAATATCTATTGTCCCTCATCAGAAGATGAGCCACTGGATCACTCATATGATTATGTAAAAAGAAAACACAAATTCTAAAGATATAGTCATTTTGGAAAGCTGGTTTTTATATAGCTTGCCTTTAGATGCATTGGAAGATTAGACATGGGGACAGCTAAAAACAATGCCTTCTTCAGTCTCAGGAGCAGAAAGAGTAGGTCACACTCGGCCTTCTGGGGAGGCGGTCAAGGCTCGCAGTGACTTCAGAGCTAAACTGGCATTTTGAACAGATTTTTCAATGTGGAAGAAAGATAACAAAGTGGGGCATAGGAGCAGGAGAACCATGGGTGGGAGGTACTAGGAGAAGTCCTGCTTCTGCTCTGAGCCTTTTGGGCATATTTTCCACAGCTATTCAATTAAGATGGACTGGGACAATCTAATTCAGCACTGCCATCTTACAGGTGCGAAGACAGGCTTCAAGAGAATGAATCAGGCACACTACATCACACAGGTGGTGAGGGACAGAGCTGGCCTTAATGCCCCATGCTCTTTCACTAGGCCAGTCACCTCCCTTTGGAAACTGCCAGCACCTGTATTATGAAGAGCACAGCCCCCAAAGTGGTCTTTACTTCAAACATATTCAGGAAACTCTTTGAAAGTATATGTTGAAGAAACTTTAATTATAATTTAAATTTTAAAATCACTAAAAAAATTAATGTGGCCACTATGGTGAAATCAGTTTTAGCTCCTGAAGTCAAGGCAAAACTTCCCCAGGAAGTGGCTTTACATTATGAGTACGTGTTGTGTGTAGAGATCCACAGCAGAAGCTTCAGTGGCCGGAGACAGAGGGGAGAGGCAGGCTGCTCCAGGACAGCTGGTGAAGAACCTGTTCTCTCTAACCTGCCTCACTGCCCAGACTGGTGGGTGGTGTGGTGCCTTTGCAATCAGAAACGCAGTCTTGGGTTCTTCATGTACCTCCTGTTCTACCTCTTTGGGCTTAAGTTCTCAGACTTAGGTTGCTCCTAACATGGGGCCAAGATCACTTTTAGTGTAGGTGGCAGAGTAGCGACTTAAAATCAGTCACCGAGTTATTTGGCTGCATGTAGATCTTCAGTGACCTGTGACCTCCAACTAGTTATACTTAATCCTCTTCTACCTGAATTTCCTTATATGTAAAATATGGATGAAACGCTTCTTTGGGTTGTGCAGAAGATACCTTATATAAACTCTAAGCACAGAGCCTGGCGTACCTTATGCACCTGGCAAATGCCATCTGTGATTATTCCTATTATCAGTAATCGGCATTAATTCTCTGTAGATGGAAGGACCTGAATTCTTCACTGTGCTTCCATGACCCAAATCTCCCACTTTGGCTGTGTCAGCTGCTCTCCTCATCTTCTATAATAAGCTTAATCTTTGGGGAGGGCATTGGCCTGTGCTTTCCTCCCTCTTCCTACGATGTGGGGGTGAAGAGCATTGGCCTAGATTCTTTCAAAGGGAGGCCTTGAGGGGCACCAGGCATGATTGGAAAGCAAACAAGCCCTATGCTTAATGGGGGCAATGACAGCCTGCAATCCCCAGGAGGGAAGTAGGGTGGGAGGAGATGGACGGAAATGTGGATTTTCAAGGGCCTTGCTTCCTGGCAATCAGAAAGAATATGAAGAGAAATACTGCAACGCTTTAGGGAAGAAGACAGCTATGGAGAGTCCTTCAGCCTTCACTACTGCCAGTTGTAGTGAGAGGATCCAATTACACTATTTTATTTACCAATATCTCACTATTCAGCCCTGATTAACTCAAGGGGCTGGTCTCAAGAGAGGGCAATAATATATGACAAGGCAATGGCTCTTAACATTAATTGAGGGAAAGTCTCATTTTTCTAGTGGAATAAATTTTCTGACTTTAAAGGGCTCCAAGCATGGCTATTTTGTTCCAGTCAGAATGAAGAAATGACACCAAATGCAAACCAAGTGCTAGGATGGGGTCTTCTCAGGCACACAACTTCATTTCCTATCATTATCTGAGCACACTCCCTTCTCTGGCACATGCACAGACAGACACAACTCACCAGCACAAACACACACCCTCCGATAAGCACACACTCTCACAACTGCACAATTTCTGCCTATGTTGCAATGAATGAAATGTGGGGCCATCCTTGGAATTCTGCATTACTGGATTTCAAAGGCTGTAGAGGAAAAGGACAGAAAAGAGTCCTGAAGGCATCTTCAGGAGAGAACACGTCTACCTTCTCCAAGAACCAATGTCAGCCCATGGCCACTATCTCAGCCTGTGTAGAGACTGGAGATTAACAGCTCTGGCCTTGCTCTTCTGCAACCACCCAGGCCAGGCATTCTTCCTGACACCTGCTTGCCTGGCTGTTCGCTAGTTGTCTGCACTGTGGAGCTTTGGTGGTAAGGAGTCTTAGTAGCATCAAGGGTATCACATGGTAGACAAGTCCAGTAACTGTTCTTACACAGGATTCTGGTACTAGCCAACCTCCAGAATTTTCTGCTAATTTCCTAAGCAACTGGGCAGATAGAATGGGTATATGCATCTAATATTGACAAACTTCCAGTTACATGCCTATCTTCAGGTTAAGAAGTGGATCATATCTCTGTAGTTATGACAATAAATTACACATCCATTAAGTGGAAGAGTAGATTCCCAGGGTCAGGCCAGGAGTGAGTCAAATAGTGATTCTTCTTCAGGCATTAATGTCTCCATCTCTTGGTCACGTGTGGAAGGGCCTGGGTGATGTCCTAAAGAGCTGCAGTTGTTTTGGCCACCAGTAGCCTCTAATGCTTTTCAAGATCACTGGTCCTGGACAGTTCCTAGTTCATGAGAGTTTTCATTAATTAACAGCAAGTAGAGGAAAGTGAGGATGCTGGGGTGCATTTTTCGCACAGCTAATTCAATTAGCAGAAATGCCTGCCCTTTCTTCCAAGATAAACCTTCTCATCCTGTGTGTGTGTGTGTGTGTGTGTGTATGTGTGTGTGTGTATGTATGTATGTGTGTGTGTTTTCAAGGGTCCTTTCTTCTATGAAAAAATAGTGATACTAAATTTTAGTCGTTTTGCTTTATAACATCCCTTCTTCCTAAAAGTCAAAGTTGACAACATACTATTAATTCAAATCTTAAAAATGACTTTTTGGTGAAAACCACTTTTAGGGACTCACAATGGAGTTCCAGCAATGTCTACATGAATAGTTCTCAAACTTGAAAGGGCACCGGAGTCACCCGGAGGGTCTGTTGAAATAGAGATTGCCAGTCCCCATCCCACTATTTCTGATTCCTGAAGTCTGGATGTGGCCATCTGAGTTTGCATTTCTAAGATGCTGATGGTTTTGTCCAGGGACTACAGTTACCAAAGCCTGGTGATGCAGGGGGTCTGGCTTTCTGAACTCTGAACCAAGGGTCCTCAGCCTCAGGCAGGGCCCAGAACCCTACAACAGGGAGGACTAGGCATATAGCCTGCAACCTCGAGTTTTAGATTTGTTCTTCCTGCCGGAGGGTATCAATAATGTAGGCTGGAGAAGTAGTTCTCCTGCAGAAGAAAATGAACTACATGACACTACAAAGACCAGACTGTCCCATTTTTAAGCTGGAAGACGAGAGAATGTTCTAGGTTGTCTGCCTGAGATGTCAGCACAGGGTCTGAAAGTGTCAGGAAGTTTCCCACTCGTGGTTTATTTTTGCTTCCTGTGGTCCTGAACTATAATAAGGCAGGCAGTCCAGATCTGTCTTTCATAGGCCCTGGGGCGACAGGAAGGCAGATGTGAGACAGCAGGTGGTGGGAGGGCCTAGACCCTGCCTGAGATACACTTATCTAAACACTGCAGGGTCAGTGTGACTTTTAAAGTTTATTTAAAAGTGTCCTGTCAACTGCTCCCAATTTTGTTTCTTTGTCTAGTGTAGAGTATCTTCCAAGGATGCATTCCCTCCACCTCATTTCTCTTCCAAATTAATTTGTCAGTCTGGCATTTCTCAATGCTGCTTTAATACTTTATTTAATCTGCATACTTAGCACTGAATCTCTGCATTGTGCACCTGGTTTGGTACTGGCTAGAAGAACATCACATGTTACTGCCTCTTCAAAAGCACAGATTAAGACAAAGCATACAGAGAAAGCAAATAAGTATAAATAATACATATCCTGGGGGAGTATTTATTTCCTTGAACATCATTTATCATTAAGTTTCCAAAGTATCTGAGTTCTCAAAAGTGGTACTTGCACCTTTCATTAATTCTGCATTATCATCATGGGATACATTAAACCAAAATGAATAAATGTGCTGGAGGTTATGCTTATAAGTTATGAGAAATTATTTTGGGTTATTAAAAATACAATAGACAAAATCAGGTTTGTATCATTTTGGGTCCTTGAAATACTATTTGAATAGACACTACCCAAAGCAGACACTGGAACTCGAATTTGCATCTTTCAGGAAAGGCAGGTGACTATCTCTCTGACAGTGCCCTGCTCATGCCCAAACTTCAGTCCTTCAAGGACTTGGACTTGATGAGAAAACTCAGGGTAGAAATTATATGATGAGCCAAATTCAAAGGGTTCATTGAGGCTAACAGTTTTGCTGCATGATATACTATGAATTAGAGAGATCCAACCAAGCAAAGTTTAGGCATCCTATGTAGGGAGGGAGCCACTTACGTTTGTCCTGCAGGGAATCATGGGGCACTTCTCCTTGGGGGCTTTCTTCCAAGTCTCCATAATGTAAGACCTTGTGATTTGGTGAAAGCCGACAATACCAAAACTTGTCTGAGGAGAGAAACACATGAGTTTCTGAGGTTAGTGATCTGGTTTTCAAAAATATTGGCATGCTGTTTCTTAATGGTGTTACCTGGAGGAAATAATCATTCAGTTGATTTTAGGTCTTGAAAAATAATGAATTCTGGAGTCCTGAGTGGTGAACCCCTTTCTGATTTTGGATTTTGGACCCTTCTCAGCATACATTGGCAACCACTGGGGGAGTCACCAAATCCTTCAAGTTCAATGACAAAATATTTTACAATGTGGTGGTTTATCACTCTCTGTAACCATCAAAGGGACGATTTCTTAGCCAGGAAAGCCTGGCTAAGTGAGCGGAGAGATGAAGGAACAGCTTTCTTGGCTGTTAATCTATTTCTGCTTTGAAGTCTGGGATTTCCCACCTGCTGAAGCAACTGTGCACAAGGCCATGCTTTAGCTGACAACAGACACTCAAACCCTGAAGCTAACACATGCATGATCCGTGAATGAACTGTCAGGACACTAGTGATATACATAGAGGGGGGGATCCTTGAGGCATTGTCTCAATAAACCAGGATTTTAAGAAAAAAATTGAAGATACTCATATGACTATAATTCTTTTATAATTTCTTGTTTAATTCTCAGAATGGGAATGACTAGGGCTTTAGGATTATTTTAACTCCCTCAACTTTATCCCTTCAGCTCCCAAATGTGGTAAGAAAATTTGAATAAGACTGTGAGGCAGGGAGAAGAACAGGAAGAGCACTTTTATAGCTCCATAGATTTATAGTTAAGGAACTTGAACCATGACAGCAGTACTTCTATAGCTACAAGGCTCAGTTGAGAGGGTGCCTCCCAGAAAGCCCTCTTTGATCATCAAGGTGGAGTGGCCTCTCCTCATCCTCTGAGCTGCTCTAACAATTCTTTATACCAGGAATATAGCATGGGCTGGCATTACTGGTGTATACATGTGAACCATCTTAATATTTCCCTTTATCAGCCATAGACCCTAGTGGGTATGCCATGAACAATTACTGATATGAGAAGAGACTCCAGACTTTTCATTAGCTTGGAGAGTATATGGAAATTGACCACTATCTTCTTCCTAAGGGCTATGTCTTTATGTGCAGGGCTAAATACTGAAGAGTGCACAGTTGGTGTTGGCTAAATTGATACATGAAGACTCAAGGGGATTTCAGAGGGGCAGGCAGCATCCATGGCCCACCAGCCCCTTTGTGCCTTCCTGCAGCTGGCTTACCATATGATTTTAGTCAAGCAACCTCATTATTGTGCCTGCAGTCCCAAATTGTTTTGAAACCACTCTGAATAAAATGCTCTCCATTATATTCTAAGGAAAGTTTTTCAATCTAAAATTCCACTGGAAAAAAAAATCATGTTTAAATCATTATTCTTTAAATCAACAGAAAGCTTTAAGAATGGAAGAAGCCAAAAATGAACAAAGAATATGCCCAACTTGACCCACAAAAAGAAATTGCCTCTGCGGTTCTTGGCTTCCCAGTGTGTAGAAGAATATTTGAATTGTTTGAGAATTCCTGATTGTAGTCAGAATGTGTTTTTAAAGGTACCTGAACACTGGTGAAAAAAAAATGAGGAGGAAGGTCATATAATAGCCGGGAATACATTTGGAATTGCTAACTATTCAAAATCATGTACATACAGCCAGCACACGTTATGTTTCTGAGAGAGGACTTCAAGGAAGTTATTCCCTCAGTAATTCACAGCCATTATAATTAGCTAATGTGAAATTATGGATCTCCCATGAGAAGAACACATTTGGGAATTTGAGTTGAAATTTGCAATAGGAAATGTGAATTCTAGAGAAGAATACCAGGTGTTCTGAGCATCACAGAGATTTCAGTGGTCTGATGCAAGAGGAAATGGTGGCCCCCCAACCTTCTTCACAGGGATCAGTCATCTGGTCTATACGGCCTTCAATAACCACAATTTGCTACAATTTTTCTTCCTATGCTACCTCTGAGGGTATTTGGTGCTGAGAGTGACTAAATGGAAGATGGGAAGGACAGTGAGGAGCAGCACTTGGATATGATGGTTTTCTGATGACTAGGGTCTTCCTGTTCTTTATAGAATCCCTTCTTCACAAGCTGGGGCTAGCCATGGGCTAGTGGTACTATTTGAAGCCAAAGAGTCAGTATGGGACAGTAATCATTTACAGTCAATATAGTATGATAGGAGGAATTAAGAAATTGAACTGGTGAATGGAGAGATGGCTCAATGGTTAAGAGCACTGGCTGCTCTTACAGAGGACCTGGGTT